GTTGCAGGCAGGCAGCTGCATAGCCCATAGAGTCAGTCGGCTGGTACTGCGACAGCTCAGACCCTCTGATCTTCCAAGACCTGGAAGCCCTTGAACTTGGGCTGTCACAAAGACTTGGGTGGATGGTGTCTGATGTGCTGGAAAGAGCAGCAGCTAGGGACTGGGGGGAAGCCATTTGCTTTCCACCAAATTGGAATTTGACCATGGAAAACTGTTCAACCAGAAGATTTCTGATCATCTCTCTTGGACCTTGTGGTGGACCAGCATTGCATCGCATCCTTCCAGTTCGGTGGTTTCCAAATACTTTCCCTAGGCCATGGTGAGCAGCCCTCTGATACAGCCTTTACAGCATTTTCATTACTGTTTGATAATGAGTGTAATCTGCAGCTGGTGAGGAACGTGAAGTGGTGGTTTGACGAGGCAGAAACCGGTGGAAGGATGGTTGTAGACACCCCTCTAGTGGTGCCGCAGCTTTGGGGAGCCAGCAAGCAGCCGGGCCCTCCCCGGCGCTCGGCTCTGGCTCTAGTTGGGTCTTTAGATGTTGTGCGCTTCAGGCAGCGTGGGGCTAGGGACCTGTCTGACATCAGTGGATAAGAAATGGCAGATCACGTCTCCCTTTTATTGCCTTTCACCAAAGTTGCCCCTGAAACTCTGCACCAGTTCAGGTTGTTTAGAGTGTTTATTTTATGCAAGCCATGATGCTGGCAGGATGTACCTGTTTCGGTTCCTCTCTGGCTGCTGTAAAAAGATGTACTGGGAGATTAAAAAGGGGTGAGGAAAGGGTTAATATTATTTCTAAGCTTTTTAAAATGTCATATTATTTAACCTAGAGAGGGAACAATTTTGTTGTCATTGAAAAGATGCAAGTTATACTGAAGATTAATCAGATGTTTCAGATTTTCCCATCTCACAATACATTAACTGGTAGACTACCAAAGGAACAAAAATTGTGGTATATGTAAAATAAACATAAGGAACATTTATTCGTACATTTGCACGCTTTGGCTTCTCCACTGAAATTGTCAATAAGATGCTACTTTTGATTATGTGTTTGGAACATTGAATTTATTTTGCCAATTAATTTGTTAAAGGACATGCAGTAGAGACAGAGAGCATCCATAAGCCCTGGGGAAGCATCTTTCAAGACAGCAGAGAGTTTTCTTGTGCTGTATTCAGAGAGGATGCTCTTCTAGGGCACCTGGGTGGTCCTGGCAGCCACAGTGATTGCTTCATGAAGCACAGCAAGAAGTCCAAGGACTGTCCGTGTTGGTGCTGGGCATCCTATGGGGCATCCTGGGGAAGCTGTCAGGAGTGACTGCAGACCACAACTAAGGAGTTTGCAAAGGCAATCAAGGCAGTCATCCCCTTTTTGCAGATGAGCACAGCACAGAGGAATGATTTGTCCAGAGGCAGCAAGCTGCCTGATAGCAGAGTGATGTGGTGTTGAAAGGATATATGGGTTTATATGTAAGTAAAACTGTCCTTGGGGGACAGCCCAGACTGAGATTCTGAGTATACGGAAACAGAAGCCCCAAATCTCATCCTTCTGATAATCCTAGTTCTGTATCTCAGTAATCATCTGTACTACAAGTATTACCATTGTGAATCCATTATTAAACTAAGAATTACCTATACAAAATATGAAAGTGTAACAATTCAGCTCCAAGTATAATTTATTCAGTTTATTCATATTCATTTCAAAGCCACAATTTTCCATCAAAAGACATATGTCCAAATGACTATTTCTAGTTGAACCTCAATTTTGTTAAACTGATAAGAAGCAATTAATTGAATAAACAGACACCATCCTGATCTGTTTGATTTCAAAGGTAATAAAAATTTTTTTAAGTGGCATTCAGGGTTTTTTTTACCCCTTTACAACTGTACCATTTTATTTCCAAATCATAAATGCCATTTTGTAGACTTCCCTCCTTACCCCCAAAAAATAGCTCCCACTTGTCAATTTAAGAAATGATTCATTGGCATAAAGCCAGCAGAGGGAGCATAAATGCCTGAGAAGTTTTCAGGCAACATTTATGTAAACAATTATTGTTGTCTTGTTGTCATTTCTAGGCAACAGATCCTCAGAGACACATACATAGCATAGAGACAATATCTGGACAGCCTTCCAACCCCTTCTCTCCAGATTATAACACTCTACATTTTCTCCATGTATAAAGGAACAGTATTTAACAGATGGGGAATAAAAGATACTTTCATTTAGAAAATACTTGTTTTTAAGACTCTATGGAGTGATCATCTAATGTCACAGATTTAATACCTTTTTGAAAAGAAGAAAGATTCCTGAGCTTCAATATGCACTAAATTTATAATACAGTCTAGAGTCTTGCAGACTGGGAGAAACACATAACTAACCAATAAACATGCAGTAATCCATATTTTCCTTTTGTGCTGTTCAGTGGCCCAGAGCTGTCAGTGTTTTTGATACTTTTGAAACAAATCAAAACCACTAATCTGTGCATTGAGACTGCCAACCTATGTGTCAACTTTGGCAATTGAAAGACTGACATTTGTATTTATATATTTACTCAGTTCTCCAAGAAAAATCTGCAATTAAGACTTGTTTGATCTCAAAAGAAAGGCAATGCTAATGTTTTCACAGTATTTCAGTTTTATTTTCAAACCTCTAATCACAGGAAGAATTGATTCTGCAGCTCTTGAGGCAAATCTCTGTATTTCCTTCATGAATATTCTTCCAGGATGGGATCATTTTGCATCATTTCAAAGGTGTTTCTCTTCAGCTGAGTAAGGATAGCTTCTCACCAGTTTGAGACTTGCACACATTGCAGTTAAGGTTGAATCTGTCTCTAACACCAGGGGGATTTTTGCCATGAAAAATTGTTTCTTACACAGAATTAAAGTATTACCAGCCTTGTTTTATTGTAAGGGACATGTAAGTGTATATTGTGCTGTTTTTGCAGGTGTTTTAGGGATCATGAAGAGATCACAGCTAACTTCTGGGAAGCTTGGTTTGATCCGTGAGTGCCCAGCAGAGTGTCTGGTGTTACTCAGAGCACTTTCATAGCTGCTGTATGTTCATGAAGAAATCGTTTGAATGTTCATGAGTCTCATTAGGGGAAAACAGGAGTTCATTCATTCATTCATTCATTCATTCATTCATTCTACATACAATTTATTTTCTGGACAGTTCTGAACAATAGCACAGGCAGAGTACAACCTAGCAGATGAGAATGTCAGAAGACAGTCTCATCACAGTTTGCAGAAAGATGGATCTCACCAGTAACAGCATTAGAGACACTGTGTGTCCTTCTTTTCAAAATCACAGTAATGCCTTCCCTTATTTCAGATGCCATGCTAAAAATTGACAACTTGCAGTATTTAGTAGAATATATTTCCTACACATATTCATGTTCAAGAACTTCTTTTTGCATGCTTGTAAAGAAAAAAGTAGGTAACTGCCTACAAACAGCTACTGCTGCAAATAATGGAGGGAATTTCCCCCTTCACTCATGTTTCCAGATCTAGAATTCTTCCGTTGGAATCCCAGCTGCCTCTCAAATATTTTGGTCACACTAAATCTCAGCCAGAAATCTCGATCTTTAGAGAAGTCTGTATCTAGGTTCAAGCTTTACCCTTATGACTGGTATAATAAACATGGGGCCCACTGACCTTGCTTTACTCTTAAAGTTTGTAGATATTTGCTTCTGAGTTGTGCTTAAAGGTCTGGACCCATCTCTAATTTACAATCCCCTATAAAACTTTATTATCCAAACAAATTCTGAAATGTTTTTACTGGACTTTGAATTTTTCTCCTGACAGCTAACTTTTAGTTTCACATTTGGAATGAACTCTTCTTCTCGAGGTTACACTTTGTGCACACATATGTTATCCTGGGTTTAGGAGCCAGCAAGCCTCTTAAGAATTTGTGTGTGTCGTAATTAAAATATATATATAAAAAATATACTGCATTATCTAAAACCAGATCTGTGCAGGATTTACATTAGAATCTACAAAAGACTGAAAGCAAAACTGTTCCAGGAGCTCAGATAGCTTCTTGCAAATTTTGAGATTCCTAAATTAAAAGACTAATGATGTCCTGAGCTTCTATCTTTTGAATTTGCTGTTACAGCTTTTAAAATCATGTCCTGTAGCCCCATCACTTAATCCAGGGGCGATTACAAATGCTGCCTCATGCATGGCTCACGTTGTGAGGAGCTACCATAAGGCATGTATAGGTGCAGGTGTCCAGAGAGCACAGCTACAGGCCCACAGACAGCCCATCATCAGACCAGTGGGATGAAAGGAAGGAACCACTTATGAAATACATGGAGACAACCAAGCTCCTCTTTCTCTCCAAGCGTCATTAAGATTTCCTTCCGAACATACACCATGTTTTTTTACAAACAAATATCCCAATCCTTCAGTAAACATCTATGCGAGAAGCCTTGTGTAGACTTACATAAACTGTACATAACCAAGTATAATTTCTGTGGTTTTAGCCTCAACACACTTCTCACAAATTACCGCTGGCAGATCAGCAATGGAACCAAAAATAGCAGATTCCAGGTAGCGGATAAACGCTTCAGCAGTTCCTTAAGTCCCAGCACAGTGCCAGAGCCAGCCTATACACCAAGACTGGGGAACGCACGTGTTAAAAGCTTGCAGTCAACTCCAGCTACTTGGGACCAGCCGATTGTCTAGCAAGCAGGCTAACGTCACCACTGAAAATTATAAGAGCTGAAGTGACTTTTGAAATCAGTGTAATTTAATTATGCTTATAACAAGGCTCTTCACACACAACAAAAAGATTATTCAAAATGAAGGAATTTGCTGTCTTTTAAGTGCTTTCCAAAAGATCATAATTTAAAGCAATCTTCCCTCTTCTTTACAAATCACATAATTCCAGTTATAGAGTCAGCAAAACCAGGCCATTTTATAATTATGGATCCTGGCTGTCACTACTGCTGATTAATGCATTTAGATGCTCATCCATCCTCATTGAAGGAAAGACAAAAGTGTTAGAGCTTTTTAATTTATTACAGGCAGAGTCCTCAAATAGCCAAGGGAAGTGCTTACACTTACAAATATGCTGAAAATGGACAGATATGGACTCAACAAAAATACTTTAACCTTAATAAACTTTCAGAAAAAAATCAAGCATGATTATGCAAATTCAGAGTTAGGTCCTATCACATATAGTTTTTAAGTGAGCTTGTAACTGGTATTTAAGTTCAGCATCACTCAGGAACTTTTCCTCAAGTTCAAGTCTAATCTTTTCAGCTAGTTAGAATACTGAGCTTATAGAGTGTATTGTTTCACAGTATCGCAAGTGGATAATACTGTTAAGTATCCAAGTAGCCACAACAAAGTGGTTTTATCTTCAAGAGTCCATTTGTTCCACTGAAGGTGCACTATTAAAACAATAAATGTATTTAAGAAAATAATTATAACTGTTATATTACAGCCTCTCCCATTTCACTGTGATAATCGTGTAGCTTGAAGTTAGAAAATTAATTCTACAGCTAGAAAAGCCCCACAAAGGAGAGAGGAAAACCAGAATCACTAGATTTGTTCAAAATAAAAAAAAAAATCAATTAAATAAAGTATGTCTGCTTTTGAAGACACACTTCCATTTATAAGAGTTTTTTGTAGAAGTATACCTCTTGCTCCACAGTTCAAAACACTGTATCATCATGTAACAAAATCCTGCCCTAACACATAGCATTAGTTGTTGGTGCTGGAAATTTGTACGTTTTGCAGCAAATGTTATCCCATGTTGTTGAACTAGGGTAGGGGGATCAATAAATACTTCCGTTAGGCACAGACCTCTCTCCCCACCAAAACAGAATAGCAGTGCAAAAACTCAAAGAGCGAGTTTGCCACCTGGAAAGAAGCCAGCCACTGAAGGAAAAGGACAACCTTCCTGTGTGAAAAGATGACTTCTTAATTTTAACCCCCAGGCCCAGCTCCATTGGAGGAGCACCTTCCCCATTTTTACTGTGATTATGTATGAAATGTGCCTTCACTTTGCTTTTACTTATTGTTGTAACAACTGAGCCTGCAGTTTGCATTTTACAGAGATGCAGACAAATAGCATCCAACACCAAAGTCCTACATTCTTGAGCTGAAATTTGGTAGCACATACGCAAGTCAAGATTACTTTCTGAGAGAAGCTTGAACTTGGTGTATTTCCCAATTTGCACATTATACTACTACACATTTTGCAGAACTAGTGAACTTCGTAGAAAACTGGGTTAACTCTCCATCTGTATTTAGGTATATTTAAGGTCTTCAGTGTCAACTGCCCTACCTTACCTGTATTTATTACTAGAATATATGGCATTTAATTTCACAGCATCTGTCTAAAATAGCCATAGAGTTGCTGATTAAAATGAGTTAAGGTTTAATAACTTCTTGTTCTCTCTTGTAAGTAGATGGATAGTTGCTGATATTGGGAGTTCAGATTTAAAAATCAACCAACCAACCCACCCTTCCCCATACAGAAAACTGAAATACACTTTTCATTACTGGAGTGAAATGAGCCTAAGTATGGTATTTGTACAGTGATAGTCAACTCACTTAAAAAAGCCAGAATCAAAATGCTGAAGCTTCATTTTACAGATGCTAAGATAGGTGAATACAAATGTAGTTCTAAAGTATTTTACATGTTTTTGCAAGCTAAGCCACAAAGAAATCATGGTACTAGACCAAAGCTATGCTGAATGTGAACTCTAGAAACTGGAAGGGACCCATTTAAGTAGTTATTGATCATAATGTTTCTTCTGAAAATTGCTACAGTATTGTGTCATCACAAGAAACAAACTGCTAGCTGCCAGTACCACAGATAACAGATTTAAAATTTTCATATCAGTTTTAATGTTTGTAGTTACCCAGTGAATTCCAACAAAGACAACCCAACATGTTTCATTGGACTGACCAATTAGGCTATTTTAATATTTTTAGAAGTTCATTTTATTTCTTTGCTGTACAAAGGCAGAAATGCAAACCATCTCAATAAATCTACATCAGTAACTACCTAGACATGATACAGGTATGTACAAAACCCCCAATTATTTAACTTCAGTGTTAATACCATAGTTGATGCAGAGCTGGATGCAAACAATGCAAGCAGCATCTACACAGTGTAAGGCATAACTCATGATATTTACATCTTGTTCCTTATAGCGAAGGCTTCTGATACACCAGTTCTTCGTTACACTCTTTATTTGACAATCCTGCTTAGTAGTAGTGCAGCCTCAGAACTGAAAAGTGCATTTCTCTATTATATACATTCTTATAAGGATTATGGATCATTCCAGAAATAATTTCATATCTTCATTTTCAGAAATAATCAATTACCTATGTTTTCCATCAAATAAAATTATTTCATAAGCTAAAAATACCATTTTCCCAAAGCTCTGTAGATCACATGCAATTATAAAAACAAAGCTCCTAAAAGGAACTCTAGGAACTGTTGTCTTTTGACTTGGGAGATAAGCAATCCTGTGAAAGCACTCAACCAACCCACTGCTGCTGTAAATTTAAAACACTTTGGAACATTTCAGGTTAGTAATTTTGCAGATCCAAGCGGCTTTGGAAAAGCTCTGTAACACAGATATTTACATTCTGTACTTGATTTTTTGAGTTGTAATTAATCCATCATCTCAGGTGGTTTGGTTTTTTTCTTCCTCCGGAGATCTCACTTTGAAAGGAAAGTAAGAAAAGGAATATGATTACTGTCATTGTAGGAAAGACAATTTTGAGTCATCTTGCAAGCAAAAATAAAGTAAAAAACCTGCCTAAGATTAAAAAGTCAACTTTTCCTCTCAACTGTAAAGGAGCACTGCTAAAAATAATCTATTTTTTGTGTTCTGAGCTACTGCAATTCCCGCCACATTTATTTTTAAACCACAACATCCTGCAGCTCCAGAGCTCCTGAGAGACTATCCTGCAGTCAATCTCATTTTAGCAGCTCAAAATACTGCATCCCCTCTTCTGTCTGCCCTCCCTCAGACAGGACAGTAATGAGCAAAAGCAGCACACACCCGTGTTTGAAGCAGCACTTTAATTCTCACACTATTTCAGCCTAGCTGCTGGACTCCGCAGCGAGGCAGCTGAGAACTGACACACATTGTTCCATTGGCAGAGCACAGCTCTGACAGGAAACCAGTAACGAGCAAAGGAAGAAAAGGGTCAGGAACAAGAGTGCCTTGCTTTGTGTGCACGTGTCTGACCTCCCACTATTGTGAGGTAACACAACAGTATAGACTTCTCCTTTAGGCATTTCCTATACTCCTACACATCTTGGCCCACAAACTATGCCCAGAAAATTATACTTGTATAGTACAGTTTTCAACTTTATCAGATTACACAGAGATAAAAATGTAAGTGGAAGAGACTACCTTCATCAGGAGGAACTGATGGCTGGGTTTCAGAAGTAACAGTATCCATTTCTTCAAAAGTTTTGGCACCTGGCTTCTCTTGTTCCACCTCACATAGGTACACATCGATAGGTCCTTTTGTGCTCTTCACATGTACTTCTATGCAATTCTATAAAACAGTGACTTGCATATAAACCGAAGAACAAATCTCACACATCAGTTATCTGGTTTTGCACATATTTTAAAGCCAATAGATCATGAAAAGAACAAATACAGGAATAACATAACTATTTGAAATTGTGTTACTAGTTCTACATAAATTATGACTCTATTACACAGATTTGTAGGCCAATTATTAAGCTAACAAAGTTTCATTTTTGATGAAGATGCACTTAACAAATCTTTGTTTAGTCTTCTTACTGACCTTTACACATATGACCAAGGTTTACTATACATTTAGGAGGAATAACAAAATTTAAAACTTGACAAGTCAATGCCATGGATCAGAAACAAATCAGAGCACATAGCAACGTTAATAATATGGCAAAGCAACTAAATTATATTACTTTTACCACCCTCCTTCAGCAGACATCACATTGCTAGGCACAGAGCAAATCAAACTTAACGGACAACAGAGAAGATTCTGTTCTCCCTCAGATAGTTTTTAAAATCCTGCCTTCTTTTGCTTCAGGAAGCCTCTGAAATCTTATCTTTTTCATTTCCACAAGATGTGAGCCAGCTGCTTTTACCAGTGAAACCACTGCAGATCTATGCAGTGGATCGAAGTCTTCTCTGGTTCTATTGATTCCTATCTTCTTTTCCTACAGTATCACCTCCCTTTCTGTGCAAACAGCAAGGCAAATTTGATGGCTACACAATTAAGAACATTGTAAAAAATGCACACACAAAAGAAAAACAGAATTAAAGCTCCACTTGTTATCTCAAGCTTACTTCCAGTATTTCCCCTCTTTCACAGCACCACTTTAACCAGTGGGTTCCCAGTACACAGGCCCCAATGCAGGTGCAGTGACTGGGTGCAGAGGGCAAAGCTATGGCTCCTCTGTATGACCTGGGTGGGAGGATGTGCTGTACCATGAGGTGAGGACAGAGCACAGGCCTCCACCTCCATGAAAAGTCCATCTTGAGTACCAAAACGTTTTCTTTTGTCAAACACACTGTGCATTTCATATTTCAATATACAATAGCCATCTACTCATTAAGCAGTAAGACAGCATTTACATGCTGTTAAGATCATTCTCAACGTTTGTTACAGCTGTTCCATTCTCTCTAGCAAAACCAAATAACTAAAGCTCAGACATGTTTATTGTTTAGTAATATGGGTAAACAGAAAATACTGAAAATGTTTCTTAGACTATTACCCCTACAGCACTGTTTAGTGAAACACAAGAACAATGAAGTACCAGTATTTGCTATACATGACAAAGAAACTGGAAGTCAATTACCGATTGTGGCTGCAAAAGTCAGATTTGAGACCTTTGGTTCCCTTAAAAGTGGAATGTGTAGAACTTACTTCTTTAGGAATTGGTATTTCCAGTTTGGTTTCCTCTGGAGCTTTAATTGCAATCACAATCTGTTCCTGAAATGCCTGAATGTTACGGATATCTTGATATGTCACATAAGCTAGTGTATACATTGGTCAAGGATTCTGTAAAATAATTTGCTAACAGGCAGAAGCAAAGAGTATGATGTTAAGATATGTTGAACCAGAATACCAACTTAAGTGGTAAATAGTTCAGCTAAGGTTCCTTTAATACTAGCTTTGTAAAATTAAGTAGTAGTTAACAAGTGGAAAACCTTTTTGCATTTCTAGGAAGGAAAAAGCTTTAAAAAATAGATAATATTAAAAAACATCTGACAAACATTTTTCACAGATGCTGTCAAAAGTCTACAATGCAGAGGGAATACTGCCCTTGATAAATTACTACTTTGTTCTGCAATAACTATGCACATAAATAATTTCCTGGAAAACTATAGAATTATTTTCTTAACCAAAACACATAAGGAGTAATGAAAAGTTTTTCTCATACCATTCAGAAAATGGGCACAGTTCATTTGAGCACAGACTTTAACATTCTGCCAGACAAAGGAGCCATGTAATATTTTATTGTAACCCAAAGCTAAAATCCAATGTTTATGTCATCTTAAAAGAAATCCCTTTTCTATTATCAAAATCCATGTCAAAGAGAAGACTGCATTGGAACCCCTCTCAAGAGACATAACAGTATTAGGACACAACCAATGTACCATTTATCTTCTTGGCAGCAGGTCACTGGGACTCTGTTTTGGATCCTCTTTCTCATCTCACTAAGCAACTCAATCTCACTGGTAGGTCAAGATCTGCCACTGAGACAAATTATAATGGAGAGAACAAGGTGATGGTCAGGGTACTAAGACTACTGCCCCACTTCCATTCTTCTGCAGCGGAAAGGTCACACAAGTAGCACTCCCCTGAGAACAGGCTAGATCGTGCATGGTTCGGCAAAGCAGGGTATTACTGTATACCTGTGGTATCAGCCTACACTTACTACTAGATACCTGAGTACTTGCAACCAAAACCACATGTTAAAGTAATGCAAGAGTTAAAAGGATATTTTGCATTTTCTTTGTCATCTGTTAGTTCAAATAACTGATGAGCACAATCCTTGATTAATTCATCCAGAGCTTCTTCCATGGCTGACAAATCAGAAAGTTCATCTCTAAGGCTTTGCTGCTGTGGTGCTTTTCCAACAACTTGGTCAAAATTAGAACCTCTAGAAGAATATGAAAGTTGTCTAGTATGTTTATATAAATAAGAGCCGGTTTACTGAACACAAAATATACTAACAGAGAAGAACCAGGAACTCTGGCATTCTTACTCTGCTGAAATATGCTTCATTGTGCTTCTGCACTTGATACTTGTTAATATAGTAATTCAGACAGCTTAAGTATACAGAAGAATTTCAAATATTTTCAGCTATTACAAGTAATTCAATATGCTTAAAAATGCTCTCAAAGTTATAAACATTACTCAACACTGTTGGGTTTGATTGTTTCAGAAATTAGAAGTTTCAAAGCCAACTCACACCCACTGTATAAGATTCTTAGATCTTTTCTGAATTAAGTTTATTCCATCCAACACATTGGTGATGTCATACACTCTTCGTTTTCGTACTCCAAGTGCTGTTGCTACTTCATTCAAATCAAGGACACCATCTGGAGCTGTTTTGACAAGATCCATGAATTTTCGGGTCAAGTAGACCAAGGATGCATCAAATCGAGGCTTTTTGACTTTCAGAGTTCCTGTAAAGTTTTGACAGGATATTTTGACAGAATAAAAAAACCCTACTACATGAGTATTAAATATTCTTTAAAAACCCAATTGCAATGAAGTAACAATGAAGATAAAGTCAGAAAGCACTGCAATTATTAATGCTGACATTGCAATGGCATCATATAAAGTCTATTAACTATATATACCTTCATTTGTTTGCAATGAGTATATCTAAACAGCAAGCATGCATCTTCATGCTATCAATGTTCATGGCTTCAGACTGCTACTACGGATATTAATAGCTATGTAACTGTATGTTCTGTAGGACATGTGCTCAGACTACTGAATGAATACCAATGAAACCTTTGGTTAACTACAGATAGTGTCAGAGCACTGCCAGGAACTGCAGCTCTGTCATTTGCTCCATAAGACTGAAAATGTATTTTCACACCCTTTTGGCCCAAATTAACCACTAGATCTCCCAAATAACATTCAGGTATGGCTTAAGGGTTAGCTTGATTTCAGGGACTGTTCCAGCCTGGACATGACCAATCTGTTCTGTAGTACAAGAACTTAATATATGAACAAACTCTGGTTGTACTACTTGGCTTCAGGGCAAAAGAATTGTTCATGCTGTTGTTTAATTTACTAATACAACAAAGATCTACAGATACCAGGACACCACAGGTTTAAGAGAGATCCCTGTGATATGTGTATTCATTACCAGCATATTTACAGGAACAGCAGTAAAGTTACTGATGAACAGCTTGCTTAACTTTAGGTTCTTTATGTACGCACAAAGTATAAAACCCCACATATTTCTGGGGTACCAAAAAAGATGTGGTACACGTGCACTACTGTGTTGCTAGAATCAATGAAAGACTATCATATCCTGATGTTACTTGGTTTGTTTTGCAGGAGAAAAGACAAGTATTTTGTATCTGATCAAACTGTGTCACTAAACAATATTCCAGTCTAATGCCTCAAGAGAATATGTGTGCATGCACATCGGTGCGTGTGTAAGAAAACTTCCCTAGAAAACACTCTCATTCAAACTTCAGTATTTTTCCCAGGAAGAATGAGACATGCACTTTCACTCATAGTATATCACACTGATTCCATGGCTACAAGATTGTGCACTCTTCAACATGAAGAGACAGGCTCAACAGCTCAGTTTTGGACTGTGCTACTGCAAGATGTGTCAGACTATTCAGCTGGTGAGGAAAAAAAAAACCCACAATGCAAATTCACTCAAGCTTGTATTTACATTTGTTAATACCAGTTGAAAACTGTCCTGGTTCAGCTAGGATAGGGTTAAGTTTCCCCAGCAGGGGGAAGGGATCTCCAGCCGGGTTATTCATACCATGCTGATGTCAGATCCAGCGTGGCAGCATGGGAAGCTTTCCTTTGTGGCTTTGGTCATGGGAAGCACACGTGGCGGGCTGGCTGTGTCCACTGCAGTATTTCTCTGTATATCTTTTGTCTTGTTTATTGATACTACTGTTTATTGTTGTTATTATTGTTAGTGTTGTTGTTCAGATTGTTATTTATTACACTGTGGTATAAAATTTCTCCTTATTTCAACCCTGGGGTTTGTGCCTCACTTCCAGCCTGTCCGGCCTGAGGGTGGGGGAGAGACAACGGCAACATGGTCTCCGGTCCCGGCGTGGCCTAAACCACTACAGCCTTTCCTGGCGCCCAACGTGGGGCACGAATTGGGTTGAAATAAGAATCAAAAAGGGACAGACCCTGACCAGAATGTGTTAAAGCAATCTGTTAGGTACAATTTTTCTGTTTGTACTTGTTTGATAAGAAAATGTTTGCAATGCTGGCCCACTTGCTTGTGTGGTGGGGCTGGATTAATCCTTATATCCAGTATATGATCTCAGTGCTGATGTTTGTTGTCGGTGGAAAACGTGTAAAGGGTCTCTTTTTGTTATACTGGCTACTGACTGCTTATAATGCGCTTGTATCACTGTGGGGGGGGGTGGGCCGGTACCTGTTTGCTGCCTGGGCTTTCGTTAGGGGTCTCACCTCCTCTATTGGTGAGCCAGGGGAAGAGATCCTCTCGGTTTTTGGGAGTTTCAATTATCCTTGGAGCCTGCAGGCCAGTGTGATTGTGGCACGATACCTTCTGAATTTCTGCCTGATTTCGATTTTGGCCATGCGGCACTTCTCTAACAATAGCAGTGCCTGGAAACCGGCCCTGAGATCAGATAATAGGGAGTGGCAATGGGTGTGTGAAAAGATGGGCAAATGCCTGGGTCAGTGGTCACCTCCAATGCTTTGGAATTTCACTCTCGAACAAATGCAGAGCCCTGATAAGCTGATGGAGTGCTTGGAAAGGGTGTGTTACCAAGCTGGCAAAACCCAGGAGACACCACTCGCTGCGATGTGTTGGGGACTTGCCCATGCCTACCATGTCCTTTTTAAGACCACTCACTGCCCTCAAGGAGGAAAAAGGGCTGCAGGATCTGAGAATGAACTTACTTGTACAGCAGCTGGGCCGGGGGAACAGGCAGAGTCAGTATCAGTTGCCTCTACCAGCACAGCAGCTGAGCCAGAGAGCCAGCCAGTGCCGGTATCAGTTGCCCGATACAGAAAACAAAATATACCAGAAAGTCAGCTCGCAAAGTGGGGGATGGGGATGAACCAGGCCCAGCAGGGGAACAGGAGGAAGGGCCAGAGGTGATCGTCCAATCTCTATCCCCAACTGAGTTGTGAGATAGGTGGAGAGATTTCAGCCGCCTGGGAGGTGAGCAGATTTGCACCTGGCTGCTCCGATGCTGGGACAATGGAGCCAGTGCTTTTGAAATGGAGGGGAGAGAGGCCAAGCAGCTGGGATCTTTGGCCAAGGATGCTGGCATTGACAGGGTAATAGGGAAACAGACTCAAACCCTCAGCCTTTGGAAGTGACTCCTGCTCCGTGTAAGGGAGAGGCACCCCTACAAGCTAAGCAAATGGACCAGCATTGAGAAAGGCATCCAGAACCTCAAAGGAACTGGCTGTGTTTGAGATGATCTATGGTGATCTGAATGATGAGCAGTCACCCATGGACCCAGATCAGGCCCCTTGCACACACCTGATGTGGCACCAGAAGCACACTCAAAAGCACTGGCAATAGTGTTCTGGTGGACAGACACCCACACTCTAACAGTGGATGGAGTGGTTGGCAAGCTCCAGCAATATGAGGGAAATCTCCATCTCAACATTCCTGGGTTTCAGCTGTAAAGGAACTGTCTCAGAGGGTCCAGAAAGTGGAAGAGGACATGTCCTACATTCCACCTGCATGGGCCAATGTCTCAGCCATTAGAAGTAAACGTTTCCCCACCCAAAAGAAAGTCAGCAGAAGGTACACATCACGAGGCACCCTGTGGTTTTTCCTTCGTGACCATGGAGAAAACATGAGGAGGTGGGATGGTGAGCCCACTGCCGCCCTAGCTGCACGAGTAGAGCAGCTGAAAGGGAAGACCATCACAAAAGGGGAGTCCTCCAACAAAAGCGCAGCTCCAGCGTCCAGTCGGAAATCCCCCAGACAGAACAGAATGGCCAAAGTTATGTCTGACCCTCTTGAGGGGACCAGTGAATCATTCTTGCAGGAAGCATTCTTACAAGAAGTGAGTGATGATAAGCAGGATTAGAGGGGCCCTGCCTCCAGCCAGGTGGAGGAAAGGGATAATTGGATTTACTGGACAGCGTGGATCCAATGGCCTGGCACGTCAGACCCACAAGAGTATAAGGCTTTGGTGGCCACTGGCGCACAGTGCACCCTGATGCCATCGAGCTACAGTGGGGTTGAATCCATCTGCATCTCCGGAATGACAGGGGGATCCCAACAGCTGACCCTACTGGGAAGGACTGGCATAAGCACCCCATTGTGACTGGCCGAGATGCCCCGTGCATCCTGGGCATAGAGTATCTCAGGAGAGGGTACTTCAAAGACCCAAAAGGGTACCGGTGGGCTTTTGGTGTAGCTGCCCTGGAGGAGGTTGAACAGTTGCCCACCTTACCCGGCCTCTCGGAGGATCCCTCAGTGGTGGGGCGGCTTAAGGCTGAGGAGCAGCGAGTGCCGATTGCTACCAGGACGGTGCACCGGTGGCAGTACCGCAGCAACCGAGATTTCCTGGTCCCCATCCATCAGCTGATCCGTCAACTAGAAAGCCAGAAGGTGATCAGCAAAACTCATTCACTCTTCAACAGCCCTATATGGCCAGTGAGAAAGCCTAATGGGGAATGGTGGCTAACTGTGGACTACCGTGGCCTGGATGAAGTTACGCCAGCAATGAGTGCTGCAGTGCTGGACATGCTAGAGCTCCAGTATGAACTGGAGTCGAAGGCAGCCAAGTGGTACGCCACGACTGACATTGCTAACACATTCTTCTCCATTCTGGTAGCGCCAGAGTGCAGGCAACAGTTTGTGTTCACTTGGAGAGGCATCCAGTACACCTGGAATCGATTGCCCCAGGGGTGGAACCACAGCTCTACCATCTGCAATGGACTGGTCCATACTGCGCTGGAGAAAGGTGGGGCTCCAGAACACCTGCAGTATATTGATGACATCATTGTGTGGAGGAACACAGTCGATGAGGTCTTTGAGAAAGGAAAGAAGCTAACTGAAACCCTCCTGAAGGCCGGCTTTGCCATTAAGCAAAAGAAAGTTAAGGGGCCTGCAAGGGAAATTCAATTCCTAGGAATAAGATGGCAAGATGGGTGTCGCCACATCCCAAAGGAGGTGATAAACAAGATAACAGCCATGGCCCCACCAACCTCTAAAAAGGAGACTCAGTCTTTCCTGGGCACTGTGGGGTTCTGGAGGATGCACATCCCGAACTGCAGCCTGATTGTGAGCCCTCTCTAACACGTAACCCGGGAGAAGAATGATTCTGAATGGGGCCCTGAGCAACAACAATCCTTTGAACAAATTAAGTGGGAGATTGCCCAGGCAGTAGCCCTCGGGCCAGTTCGGGAAGGACAGGAGGTTAAGAACATGCTCTACACCGCAGCCGGAGAGAATGGCCCTACCTGGAGCCTCTGGCAGAGAGCACCTGGGGAGACCCAAGGCCGACCTCTAGGCTTTTGGAGCCGGGGATACAAAGGCTCTGAAGCTAATTACACACCAACTGAGAAGGAGATACTGGCAGCGTACGAAGGAGTTCGGGCTGCCTCAGAAGTGGTCGGCACTGAAACACAGCTCCTCCTGGCACCCTGACTGCTGGTGCTGGGGTGGATGTTCAAAGGAAAGGCCTCCTCCACGCATCATGCAACAGATGCCACGTGGAGTAAATGGGTTGCGTTGATAACACAACGGGCTCGAATAGGGAACCCCAGCTGCCCAAGGATATTAGAAGTGATCACGAACTGGCCGGAGAGCAAAGATTCCAGGATGTCACCAGAACAGGAGGAGACACGTGCTAAGGAGGCCCCACCATATAACAAGCTGCTGGATGAGAAGCGATATGCCCAGTTCACTGATGGGTCTTGTCGCACTGTAGGAAAACATCGACAGTGGAAGGCTGCTGTATGGAGTCCCACACGATGGGTCACTGAAGCTGCTGAGGGACAGGGAGAATCAAGCCAGTCTGCAGAGATGAAAGCCATCCAGCTTGCTTTGGATATTGCTGAGCGGGAAAAGTGGCCGAGGCTCTACCTCTGCACTGACTCGTGGGCAGTGGCGAATACCCTGTGGAAATGGTTGCAGCAATGGAAGCAGAGCAACTGGCAACGTAAGGGTAAAACCATCTGGGCTGCTGAGGTGTGGCAGGACATTGCAGCCTGTGTGGAAAACCTCGTTGTGAAGGTGCACCACGTGGATGCCCATGTACCCAAGAGTCGGGCCACTGATGAGCATCGACACAACCAGCAGGCAGACCAAGCTGCTAAGATTAGAGTGGCTCAGGTGGACTTGGACTGGCAGCGCAAAGGTGAACTGTTCATAGCCCGCTGGGCCCATGAGACCTCGGGCCACCAAGGTAGAGATGCAACATACAGGTGGGCTTGAGATGGAGGGGTGGACCTTACTATTGACACCATTGCAGAGATCATCCACGGATGTGAGACGTGTGCTGCAATCAAACATGCCAAGCGGGTGAAGCCCCAGCGAAATGGAGAGCGATGGCTGAAATATAGATATGGAGAGGCCTGGCAGATCGACTACATCACACTGCCACAGACCCGCCAATGGAAGAGCCATGTACTTGCAATGGTGGAAGTAACCACTGGATGGCTGGAAACTTACCCAGTGCCCCACGCCACCGCCCGGAACACCATCCTGGGCCTTGAAACCCAAGTCCTGTGGCGACACGGCACCCCAGAGAGAATTGAGTCAGACAATGGGACCCACTTTCGAAACAACCTCATAAATGCCTGGGCAGAAGAACACGGCATCGAGTGGGTCTACCATATCCCCTACCACGCACCAGCCTCTGGGAAGATCGAGCTCTACAATGGACTGTTAAAATCCACACTGAAAGCACTGGGAGGTGGGACCTTCAAAGACTGGGACACGCATCTAGCAAATGCTACCTGGTTAGTCAACACAAGAGGATCTGCCAGTTGAGCTGATGCAGCTTAGTCAAAACTTCCATGTGCTGTAGACAGGGATAAAGTCCCTGTGGTGCGCATGAGGATTTTATTGGGAAAAATAGTCTGGTTTAATCCTGCACCAGGCAAAGGTAAAGGCAAACCCATCCACGGGATTGCTTTTGCTAAAGGACCTGGGTGTACCTGGTGAGTGATGCAGGACGATGGAGAGGTCCGATGCGTACTACAGGGGGACTTGATTCTGGGTGAGAACATGCCGTGAATTATGCTGTGCCTTTGTTAATTGTTGTTTTGTTATTGTTAAATGGCAGCTGGACATGATGCAGATGGTATAGAATAAAGGGGTAGATTATGTCCTGGTTTAGCTAGGATAGGGTTAAGTTTCCCCAGCAGGGGGAAGGGCTCTCCAGCCAGATTATTCATACCATGCTGATGTCAGGTCCGGCGCGGCAGCACGGGAAGCTTTCCTCTGTGGCTTTGGTCATGGGAAGCATGTGTGGCGGGCTGGCTGTGTCCATTGCGGTATTTCTCTGTATATCTTTTGTCTTGTTTATTGCTACTACTGTTTATTATTATTGTTGTTCAGATTATTATTTATTACACTGTTGTATAAAATTTCTCCTTATTTCAACCCCGGGCTTTGTGCCTCACTTCCAGCCTGTCCGGCCTGAGGGTGGGGGAGGGACAACAGCAACGTGGTCTCTGGTCCCAGCAGGGCCTAAACCACCACAAAACCCAATGTTTGCCAGCACGATGTTCCAGTTTTCTCTAACTCTTTTCCCATACATTATTTCCTTTACAGCAGTGGGAAGGTATTCTTTCAGCAGATTTAAAGAGGAAAAACCATGAAGAATGTGTTGTTTCATATCTGTCATTTTGTGTGCAGCATTCCTCCTGCTGTGCCTATATTAGATACATAACAATTTCACATTTGCTCACAGCATCTACTCAGCATTGTAAAAAAGCATAAAAATACTTCAAGAATAGTCTTCACACGTGGAACACAGCAACTTACTTCTCACTAACGGTACATCATTGTCCACATTCAGGTTGATCATCTGTGACTGGGGAAAAAACAAAAAAATAACCGATATAAAATGCTATCTATACAGGAAGCCTCACCAGACAAAATTCCCAAATCAACTCTAGATGCTAGAGCCATCAGTGCTGACAATTCAACATGTTACTGTATAGAAGGGATACATGCTCATTACATTCCTGTCAGAATTTTCAGCCCTTAATCTCAGCACACATCCCTCCGTCTTGGAAAGCAAGGAAACACCACTGAACTCCCTAATGCTCAGGCAATGGTCACAACACAAACAGACACCTGTTTAAACTCTGTAAACACAAGCTTCAGCTATTCATGTAATAGCACAAATACTTAAGATACACTGCTATTATATAGCATTACAAGACTGGCAGCAGAGTCTGCTCTGGTCAAGAAACTGACATGATGAGCCTAAGTAGGTACTTCATTCCACCCCTCACTCCAATTTAATAAAATGAGCATTTTGAAATTCAGACGCATCCCAGTTGGAACAGACCCAAGAAGGTCTCTGGTCCAACCTCCAACTCCAAATGGGAACAGCCATCAGATGAGAGTAGCTTATTCAAGGCTTTATCCAACTGGGTCTTGAACATTTCCAAGAGATGGATGCTACACCTCTCTGGGCATCCCATTCCACTGCCTGCCTGTCCTCACAATGACAAAGTTTCACTATACATCAAGTTGCAACCTTTCTTGCTTCTTTAGTTTAAATTTTGTTTCTATTTCCTTTCAGCCTCCCATCCTGCACTGCTGTGAATCATCCGGCACCAGCTCCTTGTTAAACTTCCTTGCAAGTCCTGAAGGGCTTCTGTGGCTTAACTCTCTCAGTAGTTATCAACAGCCTTCCTGCACTGGTGGGCCTAAAATGGACACAGCATTCCAGGAGCAGCCTCATACATGTCAAGAAGAATCACTTCCTTTTATTTGCTGGCTATGCTCCTGCTAATACAGCCTCATATGCCTCAATGCCAGGGTGCAGCGCTGGTGCATGTTTAGCCCACCATCCATCAGGACCCCCAGGTCCTTTCAGCAGGGTGGTCCCCCAGCCAGTACCACTGCAGGGTACAGGCCCAGGTGCCAGGACTTCACACTTGAATTTTCAGCTTCCTTGGTCAACGTCTGTGAGGTGTCCGATGACCCACTGCCTCCAGCCCATGCCTGGCTGTTTAACGCACTTTCCCTACCCACGAGGATCATCTCATGTCTTCCTCCTATCAAGAGGACAGGTCCCAGATAGACCCTTAGGAACACCACTTTTGGGTAAAGCATAAACTACTAACCATTCCTCTTTGAGCTTGATGATCCAGCCAGGTTTTTTTCTACTTATCTAGTAGCTTACAGTCTGTAACATGCCAACTGCAGAAGACTGTTTCAAAAGCTAGTGTAGATGACATCCAAGGCTTTGGATCTACAGATCTAGTCATTCCATCACCAAAGGTAATCAGGTTGCAAGTATAGTCATGTTTGCTATTCCCAATCACCTGTTCCTTCATGGACCTAGAAATAGCTCCCAAGAGAAGTTCTCCAAGGAACTGAAGTGAGGCTAAGCTGTAGCTGGCCTCCACAACCTCTCAAAGATCATGAAAGCAACCTCACAATGACATCAGTCAGCCCTCTTGGGACTTACCCCAAGTATTAGGCTGTTCGGGAATTAATTTCTGTTTTGTAATGTGATTTTCATTGTATATGTTTCAGGAATAGGACCTTCTCGACTGGCGTACTGTTAATATATTTTTGAAAAGCTCATGTTATGAACTTTCACACTGTATAATTAAATTATAATATAAACTGCGTTTTTGACAAATTTTGGAGGTTTGAAGTTCCGATGTCAAAACAGCAATTTCAACAGATCTACTTCTAGGAGTTCAAACTTTAATGTAATGCAGCACAAGCTGCTCGAAACATCAATGAGGTATATGGCCAGGGAAGTGTTAACAAACGGACAGTGCGACTTTGGTTCCAAAAATTTCAACGTGGCGATTTTGACCATGAATATCAAGAAGGTCGCAGACATCCTTCTGCTATTGACGATGACGAATTGAAGGCTTTGATGGAAGCAGATACATGCACAACTGTTTGAGAACTTGCAAGAGAACTCGGGGTAAGCATATCGACTGTTTCTGAGCATCTGAAGAAGATTGGAAAGTCGAAGAAGCTAGACAAATGGGTGCCACACGAATTGAATGAGAATCACAGAAATTGCCGTTTTGAAGTGTCGTCGTCGCTTCTTTTTCGCAACCAGAACGACCCGTTTCTCGGCCATATTGTGACATGCGACGAGAAATGGATGCTCTGTGATAACCAGCGACGATGAGCTCAGCGGTTGGACCACGATGAAGCTCTGCAACACTTCCCAAAGCCGAATCTGCAACAAAAGAAGGTCATGCTGATGGTCTGGTGGTCTGCCGCTGGTTTAATCCATCACAGCTTCCCGAATCCGGGTGAAACAATCACGGCAGCGAAGTACATCCAGCAAATCAATGAAATGCGCCAGAAACTTCTACAGCTGTGCCCAGCACTGGTCAACAGAAAGGGTCCAATCCTTCTCCACGATAACGCGCAGCCACACGTTGCACTTTCGACGCTGCAATGGTTGAACGAGCTGGGCTACAAAACTCTGCCTCATCCACCGTACTCACCAGACCTCTCGCCCACCGACAATCACTTCTTCAAGCATCTCGACAGCTTCCTGTGTGGGAGACACTTCGGAAACCAAGGGGAGGCTGAAACTGCCTTTGATGACTTCATTGCCTCCAGAAGTCCAGAATTTTATGCAACCGGAATAAATATGCTTGTTTCTTGTTGGCAACAATGTGTTGATTCTAATGTTTTTTATTTTGATTAATAAATTTTATTCTGAGCTGAGATATGCCACTTCAAACATACAGGTTGAAATCGGCAATTAATTTCTGAACAGCACAATAGCAACAAGCTCACATTTGCCTCTGCCCTCTTTACTGCTAAAGTAGCAGTAGAAAGTTCTTCTTGTCACCTTTGACATTCCTTGCTAGTTTTAACACTAGAACTTTGGCTTGCCCAGAAGCATACCTACATGTCCAGAAAACATTTTTTCATCTTTCTCCTTGCTCCCACTTTCTTCATATATTCTTTTTGACCCCCACCCCTGGAGTACAGGTATAGCTGTGCCCATCCCTCAACACAATTACTTGTCATGAGTATCAGGATGGCATATCCCTGTCCTTACATACCTCTACCTTTTCAGCTCTTCCAACTTTCAAAGTTGCCTCCCCTAAAATCTCAATTACCTGTTGCCTGAGTAAGGTGAAGTCCTGAAGCCTGAATAAGCTGGAGTCCAGGTTCTGTACTCTGCTACCAGCCTTCCTCGCTACACTCAGGGTCTTGAACTTCACTATTCCATGGTCATTACAGCCCAGGCTGCTAATGATCACCAATCTTGACTTCCCTATTTATAAAAAGCAGATTCAGGAAAACATCACCCCTGGTTGACCCATCTAAACACCTACATAAAGCAGCCGTGCCCAAGACCCTTTGTTTCTTACAATCATCATCGCCAATAATAAGAAATTTTCAATTACCCGTGTAAAAACCCCATATAAACTTTTTCATGGCTTTAAGATAATACTACGAAGTAACATTTAGCCCAACAGTCAAGGTTCATAAAAATAAGCATTTTTAAGAAGCTTCACAGAACTAAAACTAGACCTGTTTTTTGTTAGCTACCTCATACCATTACTGAAAGTAGCAGTGGAAGCTGCATAGGTTACCCAAATATCACAGATGTCCAGATAAGAGAATAGAGTTGTAGCTTTGCTTTTCTCAAATCTGTTTAATTCTACTCTACAGTCTATTTAACTCGATTAAGAGTCTGTAAGCAACGCAGCTAAGAAAACCATCCCTTTGCACGATGAGTAACATTACTACGTTTTCCCGGGCAGCCTACTAAACTGCAGTGACAATGCCTCTTTCGTGCACCGCTCTGGCTGGGCCTGCCACACCTTTCCAACTCTGGGACCTCCCGCCGGACAGGCGAGGGGAAGGACTTTCGAGAATCTCTTTAAAACCTCCCGCGGTGGACGCAAAGCGCTGCAGGGCCGTCCCGCCCTTCCCCATCCCCAGCAGCACCTGCCTCCCCCGCCCGCTGCGTACCTCACTCACACGCAGCATGTCCGTCCGCAGCGGCTTCAGACGCTCCCACCTGGAAGGGCTGGCCATGTTCGCCCGGCCCCTCCGCCGTCCGCAGCCTAGCGCGGCGGAAGGCCTCTCCCGCCCCGAGGCGAGGCGAGGCGGCGGAGGGAGGGCG